CCCCATACTTTCCCTTAACAGCATCTACAACATTCAATTACTCAAGAACAATGGCAGAGATGTCCGTGAGCCTAGGAAAAGCAAAGTTGGAGTGAAGGGAAGTGACAGGAGACACTCAGAGCGTTTTAGAGTTTCACATCATTCCAATATTGCAAAGTAGTCCTTTGAAAATCGTATTGATCAGTAGGCCCACTATTATCTTGATGACTAAATTCTTAATTTTAAAAAGTGATTAAGTTAATGTCACAGAAGTATATACTTAAGTTCCCACAGCAAATTTTTGATCCTTATAATAATACATCTTACAAGCAGATATATTTTTAAGTCTGAGAAGGGAAAGAAGTACATTGAATAAATACACAGGTGAACTCCTCATTAGTGTTGGGGACCAAAACTATTTTCTTTGCCTTACCCATTGATGATAATGGAAAGTCCTTGGAGATGGGCATTTCATGGACCAATTAGTCTAATCTAATTATGAGCTCTGTGTATTGATCTTCCAAGGTCATATATAGTCCTCACTCAGAATGTGCTTGTAGTCCTTCAGTTGATGGTTCTTGTCCAGTGAGCTGCATGGCTGTGCCTCCTCCTGAGGTGTCTGCATCAGGAAGCTCCTGAGCACATGATCTGTTCCTGTGGACACAGTTGCTCCTTCCCTGGGCTCCACACATGGTAGGGTCTCAGGGTCAGCACTTTTTGGTCATGACCCTGCAGGGAAGCAGCATAACCCACTAAGTACAGAGTGGGCCTTGGAAGTGGGAAGGACTGGGGAAGTAGTGTTACCTCAGCATGGTACACTCACCTCAGAGTAGCCACATGGGAGGACACCAGCGTGCAGCTTCAAACTTGGGGTTGTGGGGTTCAAGCTTTTGTCTCAGAAATTCAAAATGCGCTCTCCACCCACACTGGTTCTAATTCACGCAGAAATCTCACCCACAACAGTACAAAATGAGCTCTTCAGAAGAGTTTCCTAAGCTCTGAAAAAGGACTAGGGAGGTGATAAGGATGATGAGGAGGGTGACATAAGCCAGACCACTATGAACTGAGGTGCAGGGCTTCCCAGGCTCAGGTGCTGAGGAACTTTTTCTATATCATTTCATGTGCACCATCTCACTTTAGCTATATTTATACACTTCATTATTATTACATAGAAAAGGAAGAATTGTGTTTTACGTATGTAAATTTTACTCCTTTGCTAGATAGGAAAAGATGCAGCCTTATTTGCACTGGGCTCTCTGGCCATGGACACAGGCCATCACAGGAGAACCCTGGCAGGCTGTCCCATCAGCAATCCCACCAGCCATTTCTCTTCCCTGTCAGTGCAGAAAGAGCAAGGCTTTTCCTGTGGGATTCCTGGGGATCACAGGGCAGAGCAGTGTGTGTGTGTGTGTGTGTGTGTGTGTGTGTGTGTGTGTGGCTGCTGCATGCACTATGGAAGAACAGCCACAGGTCACAGGAGAGATCAGTAAGAGAGGCTCATGGTCATTGAGCATAGATCATGCTCCTGGCCTCCCTCCATAGCCTTCTTGAGCTCACCACATGCTCTTCCACGGATGAAAACAGCCCTCTCAATCTCAGAGGAAACCTAATATTAGGTCTTGATTTCATTCCCACTCAAAAAACTGGAAGGAGTTATAAAATGTACCTGAGATTTACCAGTGGTTAAGATCTGTGGACTTAGGCTGAAAACTGTTAAGTGGGAAAGTAAAAAATATATATATATTTGATTGATCCATTTTAGAGTCTGTCAGTTCCTATCTCTATGTCTGTAAGGCAGTCCCTAGATTCATGGGGGTCTAGAGTCAGCCTTGCCATCTGAGCTGATTTCCCACTGATGCAACTGCAATGAGTAAAGATAAATAGATACTTGGTGCTCTTCTGTGTATACTATGAGATATGTGAGTAAACTCTGGGCAAAAATTTCTAGACATTATTGTTACTGTTAGCAGACTAGGTTGATCCTCATGCCACTCAACTAATGCATTCAGTGGTCTGAAGTGACTGTTTTTCTGTTTCTGGATGAGACACTTTATTTTTGCCCTTACAAATACATGTGCTGTTCATTTTAGAACAGTTTTCTTTTTCCTATTTCTTACACTCCAGGTCCATGCTCTGCTTGGCACAGGAGGCATCTAGAGCAGGTCTTTTGGACATTAAACCCACCCATCCTTTCTGTCCTAAATTGGCCAAATGAATATGGATGGTCAGACTTGTTTCTGCCTGTCTGAACATTCATTCCTTTTAGCAGTGCCCATGGAAGTTAAAATAGTGTTTTCTCTGTCCATGTTTTGGACACAGGGACCATTTAGTTTTATTTAATATCATCCACAATAGAAAAAGTTTCAGAAATCATGATGGAAATCTTCATGGATTTGAAGATTGGCAATGAGGCAGAAGCTGAAGGCACTAAACACTGGAGCCTTCCATGAGGCACAGGTCAGAGATTCACCTCATTCCAGCCTCAGTGCCCTTGACTGTGGCTTTTCTCCATAATGTCAATAGTTACCTAATCATGGAATTTGTTTATTGAAATCATAGTGACCAAATATTTATTGAGTTTCAGATTTCCCTTTGATGCTGCACATGTTGTGGAGATGGTGTTATTTTCTGTGTTTCCCTTAAGCAGTGAGAAGGGAGAGGAGGAGAGATTCACACGTTGTGCATACACTGGCAGGTGGGATGTGGGTCTGAAATGCTGCCTTCCTGACTCCAGCCCAGGGCACCAGCCCTTCTGTTGCAGTCAGAGGGGAAACAATATTCCCTGCACAAGTTGAAATTTCTTCAGGAGTCTTCAAGGACAGCACATTACTACTTGGACTGATGCTTCATTTTGCTGATACATATCAGGAATGAGAAGATGTAGGTGATATTGTCTGCTCTTATAGAGACACAAAAATAAGTCATTAATAGCAAATTTCAGCATGATTTTTTTCCCATTGTAAATCAGACTCCTATCCCCAACCAAGACATTATGGAACATTCTTTTCTTTTTTAATATGGAACACTTCATGAATTTGCATGTCATCCTTGAGCAGGGGCCATGCTAATATTCTCTGTTATATTCCAATTTAATATATGTGTTGCCAAAGCAAGCATATTCTTATTTGAGTGATGAATCAATTGGCAGGAGCATTTTGAAATCAATGCCATATTAATAAACTCTCCAACTAAATGACAGTGTCCTTTCTTCAAGTAGCAGTTTGCATCAGATAAAACCTGAATAAGAGAAATGTACTTCACAGAGGAATTATCACCTCAGGTTAATGTAACCTGGTGTATTTTCATGGGCAATAGGCATTTTTTTCAGAATACTTAGATGAATATTTTTAGGTACTTTTAAAGCAATTTTGTAAAGGAAGTTTTATGGTATATAACCCTGAAATGAAAATACCAACAGAAAATTACACCTCCCCATTTCATGACAGTAATGTGTCTGGGAGACAGTTTTGCAGGAGAATGGAATCAGGCAGAGATACCAAAATTCAAATTTCTTATATAATGATTCAGATCTCTTGCCAATGTTAGTCCTGGCACAAGTATTATCAGATTAACATATTTTAATATAGGTAGTGGGTATTATAGACAATAAGAGTAGATAATACTCATGGAGCATGTTCTATGTCAGGATGTTGTTAGACAATGGATGTCAAATCTGGTATAAGAAAGGACCATGGAGAACTTCACATGTGGACATGCAGATACAGTTGGTATTGGTCTGACATCACTGTGCATAGATATTCTAAGATATACACAGGGACACTTAATAGTGGGAGAGAATTACAAGTTATGCAGCTTGAATGATTTGTTAAAGTAATTTCCTGATGAGAACCATACAAAGTTGGGAATATTACCCCAATTTACAGTTGAGAAAGTTTTGAAGAAGTTGTTTTATTATTTATTATTATATTCTGTTTTGTGCTGTATCCAATTCAATCATGGTGAAAAATGAAAATGAACCCAAGTGAACTTCATGTAGCCTAAATAAGAGAATTGAAATCAAAGTGTCAGGAATGACTGACCAGAAAATCCATGAAGAAATAAGAAGAATGGAAACAAAACTTGAGTTTAAGGACTTTCTTTTTTCTTAGATTATAAACAATAAACTTGATGGATTGAGATCATAAAACCATGAAGCAGTTTTGGCAGGCTAGAGGAAGTACAGGATCAAGAAAAAGAAAAAAAGTTAAGTGCCATTTTATATAACAGATGCTTTGCTGATATTGTATTGGTTGACACAATAAACCTGCGTGAAATAAAACTACTCAAATGAGATTTTAGAAACAAGGATTTAAAAATTTTTGACAGGTACACTGCACACCAGTGCCACATATGTGGTTAGTGCTATTATTGATTACGTGCACTGACTCAATCATGTTTATCAAATCTGAAGTTTATCAATGGCAAGGTTTCTTATTTCATGTTATATAATTTTTAAAGAGAAATATGCACAAAGGAGGCAAATGAGAAGATCAAAGAATGATGAGACCCCTTGCAGAAAATGGATCATACTGCTTTCTGGTTATGATGCATCCCCCTTGATTTTATTGTCAGGAAAAGCAGTCGTTACATAGTCACAAAATTCTTGTCAAAGGAATTTGTTCCAAGGCCTTAAAACCGAATGAGGTATATCAACTGCTTCCTAGTTTATCTTACAAGAAAGTGATTACTTATTACCTGCTTTTTTCTTAAACAGTATGCTATACTTCATTGTGATCATGAACTTCTTCTCTCCTCTGCTCCTGGATTTCTAACTTTGCTTATGAAAATGCTGCAAATGTGAGTATGTAAACAGGGGTGAATAATGGAGAAAGAATTAAAGAGTATGTAAAGACTGGGTGTCTGACTACTGACAACTGTTGTTGAAGGAGTATGGACCTAAAGTGTGAGCAGCTTCCTTGTACATACTTAAATTCAAATGCTTACAGAATAAGGGGTGCCTGTATACATATTTTTTTTAACACCTACTTTCTTTTTTCAAAAGGTGTTCAAGGAGTATACTAGCACAAAACGTAACCCGTGTCTCTGAATTCCAACTCCTGAGCCTCTCAGAGGACCCAGACCTGCAGCAGATCCTCTTTGGACTGTTCCTGTCCATGTACCTGGTCACAGTGCTTGGGAACCTGCTCATCATCCTGGCCATCAGCTCTGACCCCCACCTCCACACCCCCATGTACTTCTTCCTCTCCAACCTGTCCTTGGCTGACATCGGCTTCATCTCCACCACGGTCCCAAACATGATTGTAAACATTCAAAGTCACAATGAACTTATCTCCTATGTAGGATGCTTGACACAGATGTCTCTTTTTGCCATTTTTATTTGTATGGATTATATGCTTCTGACTGTGATGGCCTATGACAGGTTTGTGGCCATCTGTCACCCCCTGCATTATACAGTCATTATGAACCCCCGCCTCTGTGGCTTCTCAATTTTGGTGTCATTTTTGTTGAGTGTCTTGGACTCTCAGCTGCACAATTTGCTGATCTTACAAATTACCAAATTCAAGAATGTTGAAATTTCCAGTTTCTTCTGTGATCCTTCTGTACTTCTGAATCTTTCCTGCAATGACACCTACTCTAATAACATTGGCAAGTATTTTCTTGCTGCTGTATATGGCTTTCTTCCCATCTCAGGAATCCTTTTCTCTTACTATAAAATTATGTACTCTCTTCTGAGAATCCCCTCTTTAGGTGGGAAGTACAAAGCCTTCTCCACCTGTGGCTCTCACCTGGCAGGTGTTTGTTTATTTTTAGGAACAGGTTCTGCAGTGTACCTTGGTTCAGCTGCATCACATTCTCCCAGAAAGGCTGCAGTGGCTTCTGTGATGTACACTGTGGTCACCCCCATGTTGAACCCCTTCATCTACAGCCTGAGGAACAGGGATATTAAAAGGGCCTTGAGGAGGCTGATCTTTGTCCCTGTGGAGTCTGGTTACAATGTGTGTGGGAAAATTCAGTGAGGCTAAATACCTGGTCCTGTGAATATGCCCCTTTTGTGTTAATTTCACATCGAGTTCCATAGTAGAATGGTGCAGACTATGTTGGGTGGCAAATTTGGGAAATGTTTCTATTGGGAATAAGAATTAATATTGGTAATATGAAGAATGTTGGATCTGGATGATGGTTATTGTATCACAACAAAGTCTATATTTAATGCCATTAAACTATGCTATTGATGATGACAATAATGGCAAGTATTTATAATGTAAAAATACATAATGAAAATGTTCTTGGGAAGCTACTATTTTTAAAAAAATAATTAAAGATGGGGCTGGGGATGTGGCTGAAGCGGTAGTGCGCTCGCCTGGCATGCATGCGGCCCGGGTTTGATCTTTAGCACCACATACAAACAAAGATGTTGTGTCCGCAGAAAACTAAAAAAATAAATATTAAAATTCTCTCTCTTTTGTGAAAAAAACAAGAATTCAAGAATTCAAGAGTGAAAATGGACTTTTTTCGCAAAGAATTACTGAAAAACATCAGTTGATGTTCATTTTCTACCCTTATTCTTCCACCATTGCTGTTAGGAAGTCCTTAGTTTGTGATATGCTAACCTATTGGCCAGCCAGGAGTACTATTCTTTAAGCCTCCAAGGTCACACTATAGTCAATGGGCAGCCTGTGCCTCTAGCCTTCCAGCTTGATGGCTCCAGTCAGTGTGCCCCACACTGTGTTTCTTCTCACAATGGTTGTGTCTTAGGAAGTCCCTACCTGAGCGTGCACAGATGTCAGCCCTAAAGATGAGGTGGGAGGCCCCTGGGTACCAGCAATGTGGAATCCACTCTCCTTAGTCACGACCACCTGAGCCAGTGTAAATAGGTAACTGCTCAGGGAGGTGAGGATGGAGGAAGGACCAACATGCAGTGTGGCTGCCCAGAGGGGAGAGCACTGCACAGTGTCAGTCATGGGGACTGAGAGTCGAGGCACGTGTGTGACATCCACAGTGGTGGTGAGCATGGCGGCAATGTCACTACAGTTTTCCTTTCCTCCCACACTGATCCTTCTTACCGCACACTGTCATCCACATGGAGGGAATATGCTCTTCACACTGTCCTCAGCACTGAGAGATGTCTATGAGGGTGAGGAGGAGGAGGTGGACCTGGATGAGGATAGCATACAAACATATGATCCTTCAATGAGAGATCCCTGAGTGCCAGGCACTGAAGTGTGAGCTATTTGTAGATTGTTTAAATTTGTCTGAAAATCTTCACCAAAGTATGAGTGCCATGATATTATATTTCACAGAATAGAGAGGATCAGAATTTTTAGTAAATTGTGCTAGCTGTTTAGATCAACTAACTGAGGCTATGTTTGAAATGCACTGTGGGTTTGAGGCACATGGCATCTTGGCAGGACAGTGATGGCAGGTTGTCCCCTCCACAATCAACCTGTGATTTACATTCTTGTCAGTCCAGGAGAGGACCCTGTTTTTCTGTGCACTTCCCTGTGAGAATTCTGTTGGATCCCAGGTCAGAGCAGCCAGTGGCATCAGTTGCACCAGCTATGGAAGAATGGCTGATATAAGACAAAGATCTAAGGTCAAGTGGGCCCAGATAATGCAACACAGACCTCCCTTTGTCCCCCTCTCTGGGACACCCTTGCATCTGCCACATCCTCCTGCATGCAGATAATCAGCTCACTCAATTTAAAGAGGAGACCAAGAGCAGGTCGGGATTTCATTACTACTCACAGACTTGGACAGGATTAAGACTGTATTCAATACGTGCCTGCAGCTAGGACCTCTGGATTCTGCTGAAAACGCTCTGATTTTCAGAAAACAGTGAAGTGATTAGTGCATCAGATACAGAGACTTAAAATTTAATTTTGGCTTCTGCTGTCTCAGCTGGTTCTTTCTTGAATACCTGACAGGTTGTTAGTATCTATGATACTCAGCAATGTCATCCAAGGTGGTTTATAGCTTATATAATGCCATTGAATCCACATTAAACTGAAAATGTGTATCACCTATGTGACTGATATTTGATGAAGGTGCAAAATATGGACAAATGTTAGATAGTTATTATTCATATGGAAAGGCTAAACTTCCTACTATTCAAGTGAAATGTTTTTTTAAATGAAATTATATTTTGATATTTCTATAATGTTATATTTTTATACTCCCCTTATATAAGTACATGTTGTATATCTGGAGTGGAATGACCAACTGTCTTTCTTTTCTGATACCCAAGAACCTACACCATTTTAGGCACAGAGGAGATATATATATATTCCACTATATATTATAATTATATTATATATTTTAATCATATATATTAGAATATGTGTTAAATATTTAATACGTCATTGCTCTACAAACAGATTGGCTTTGCTCAGTGGTGTTTCAACACACAGGTTCTCTCCTGTCTGTACCTTCATTCTACTCAGGTGTGTCCCCCAGTGTCAGAGACAAGATTGAGCAGCTTCTGTTTGTGTTACCCTTACACAGGGCCCATATCTCACTTTATGGACATCTACAACCTTCAACAATGGCAGAGGTGTCCATGAGCCTAGGAAAACCAAAGTAAGAACAAAGGGAAGTGACAGGAGACACTTAGAACTTGGTTTGAGATACTCTTGAGAGTTTCACATCATTCTAAGACTACAATGTCCTTTGGCAGTTTTGTTGATCATTAGACCCACTCTGTAATTGAAGACTGAATGTTTAATAAAAAAAACATAAAAACCATAATGACCAAGTAAATGCCACTTAAGGGTAGGTGGAATTATTCAGATTCCCAGAGCAAATTTTTGTTATTTATATTTTATCCTAATAAGAATGGATGTTAAACATGTATCTTTAAAAATGTAGAAGTGAAAGAAGTAAATTGAACATACAGCTTAGCTCCTCATTAGTGTTAGGGTCCAAAACTCATGTGGACATACATTTTCTTTGTATTCCCATTAGTGATGGAACTCCTAGGAGATGGGGATTTCATGGACCAATTAGTCTAATTATGAGCTCAATATTGATCTTCCAAGGTCATATCACAGATCATAATCAGCATGTGCCTGCTGCCCTTCCATTGATGGTTCTTGTCCAGTGAGCTGCATGGCTGTGCCTCCTCCTGGGGTGTCTGCATCAGGAAGCTCCTGAGCACATGATATGTTCCTCTGGACCCAGTTGCTCCTTCCCTGGGCTCCACACTTTGTAGGGTCTCAGGATCAGCACTTCTTGGTCATGACCCTGCAGGGTGGTAGTGTGACCCAGTAAGTGCAGAGGGCCTAGGATGTGGGAAAAACTGGGGAAGTAGTGTTATCTCACATGAGGACACTCACCACTGAGTATCCAGAAGGGAGGACACCACATGCAGCTTCAACTTGGGGTTGTGGTGTTCAAACTTTTGTTTCAGAGGGGAGATGAGAAATCTTATTCAAACTGTGCTCTCCACCCACACTGGTTCTAATTCACACAGAAATCTCACCCACAACAGCACAAAATGAGTCCTTTAGAAGTGTTTCCTAAGCTCTAGGAAAGGACTATGCAGTGATGATAAGGATGATGAAGGGGATGACAGGAGACTAGATCATGAACTGATGTGCCGGGTTTCCCAGGCTCAGGTGCTGAGCAGTGTGTTCTTATTTCATGTGCACCATCTCATTTTGTTACATGTGTCAACACTATTATTATTATATAGAAAAAGGAAAAAAAATGTGTTTTACTTCTGTAACTTGTACTCCATTGTTAGGTGGGAAAGGGTGCAGCCTGTTTGCACTAGGATGTCTGACCATGGACACAGGAAATCACAGGAGAACCCTGGCAGCTTGTCCCATCAGGAAGCCAAATGCCATTTATCTTCCCTGTCACTGCAGAAAGAGAGTCTTGCCCATGGTGCTCTTCCTCTTGGGATTCCTTGGTATCTCAGGGCAGAGCAGTGTAGGCGCATACTGCATGCACCATGTAAGAACAGCCATAGGTCACAGGAGAGGTCACAGTCAGCACAGATCAGGCTCTTGGGCCTCCTCCAGGATCTTCTTGGATTTCACCACATGCTCCTCCATGTTTGTAAAAAGTTCTTTCACACTCAAAGCAAACCTATGGTCAGGATTTTATTTCATTCCTATTCATGAAACTGGAAAAGTTTAACAAATGTACCTGAGGTTTGCCAGCGGTTAAGACCTCTGGACATATGCTGAAAACTTCCTGTTGGGTGGAGAAGAATGAAAACATGTAGGGATGGGTCTCAGAGTCTGCCAGTCCCACTTACTGTCTCTGTGAAATTGGGCAGGTCACTGTTGTCATCTGAGTTGATTTCTAGTTGACACCCCTTCAGTGAGTAAGGATTAAATAGACCCTGGAGATGCATGTGTGCTGTACTGGGGGAGAACATCTCCTTCCTTCCATTCTGACTCCTGAGCCCCTGCTTTGCTTGGCACTGGGAGGCAGCTAGAGCAAGTCTGTGGAGCATTGAAACCTGCCCCTCCACTATTTTCCTTACCTTAATTGTTCAAAATCAATTTGGATTAATGTGGTTATTGATTTCTGTGTATTCATTCTTTAACCCATGCCCTGTGGAAACAGTGACAACTTTAAAGTGTCTTTCTATGTCCCTATCACAGTTACAGGCCCTCCTTATTATTTTGTAATATCATTTACATAGTCGTCTTGTGTGGGATTATGACACAGATATTCATGAGTTTAAAAAGGAAATGAAGCAGGAACATAAGGTACACCTACAGCTTGAGCCTTCAACTGAGGCACCGATCAGAATTTCACACCCTTCAAGGTTCCAGTATCACCTGAAGATAGCTTTCCTCCCTAACATTGATATTTACCTAATCATGGAATTCTTAAAATTAAAATCAAAATGACCAAATTTATTACCTTCCTGTCTGTCTTTGGTGCCCCATGTTTGGAGATGGGTGTGATTTTCTCTATTTTTATTAAGCAGTGAGTGAGGGACATGGGGAGATTCACACACTGTGCACACATTGGAGGGTCAGTGTGTGGGACTGAGCTGTGG